TGTCATATCCGCCTTAGCAGAGGCCAGCCCGCATGTCCCTTACAGGTAGGACTATAGTTGGTGTCGTAGGTTACATAGTAAACTGAAACCTGTGGACCTAGTGGGCAGCGAGCGTCAAAGAAAGACCAATGCATCAGCAGACAGGTTACGAGAAGCGTCAAGAATCAACCAAGCCTTATCTTCTTTGGGAAATGTCATATCCGCCCTTGCAGAGGCCAGCCCGCATGTCCCTTACAGGTTTGTGATCCAGAACTCTCTCTCTAAAACAATAGCATTCTACTGGAGTTTTGACGATATACAAACAGAAGTTGTGGGAATGCCATGCAGGGTGGCAGTGAACTAGCTAATACCACTTAGTAGAATTGTTCAGTCATATTGATACCATGTTACTGGACAGATTCTCTTCCATTACATCTCATCATACTTCTTAAATTTCTCACATTACGATGTTGTTAATTTGAGCAGACGGTTGATTCAGTCAGACCAAATTACAGCATGGATAGGTTCGGCTGTCCAGTTTTTATGATGATGCGGGGAACCACAATGCACGACATACTCAGTGCACAACACGATAATGTCCAACAACGTATTGTACAACTGAACGACTACTACGACATATTGAAAATAAAAACAGTATCGATTAATTTAGAAATGTATCAACAATTATAGATCAAGTCACATCACGATGTTTCCGATCACGATGTCTCTGATAGTCTTAGCAAAAAATGTACGGGTCGATGGATAGCAACATTGTTTTGATTTCACCCATCTTGACGTGCTTTGATGTGTTGTAAATTATTCTGTCGGGCACTTTTATGCTGTACAGTACAATACAATGTCGTATATTGTACGGACTCTTTATCATCTATGTATCAATGCATGTTGCAGAGACTCGAAACTCACCCGAATCCTACAAGACTCGCTCGGCGGCAACAGCAAAACCATCATGATAGCCAACATCGGACCAGCAGATTACAACTACGACGAAACAGTCACCACATTGCGATACGCACACAGAGCTAAAGGTACGCTTTTACATTTTGCATTTGCGATATTTTGCGTTAAACGTTTTGCTACTTAAGAATTTACTACTTTGATAGATAACAACGCAACCAAAATTAGTGTTGGAATCGACTTATTACGTAGATGTTCGGATAATTATTTTGAGAGGTACACTCGCGATCATAAGAGCATACCTACCGTAAGGTTCATAATCCTGTGAAGTAGCTCATGTTCGTCAACCGTGGTAGTTCGTAAAATGTAAATGAGATGGCATTAGTTCCATTAATACTGTCAGCGCAGCAGCAACAAAATACAAATTCCATTTTTCAATCACTACAGTACAGGTTTATCATTACTCTACTCACTATTTCACATGTCACTTCAATGACTGCGTGGTGTAACGGTTATACACAGTGCCTTCTGAGCGCGTATAACTGGGTTCAAATCCTTACACTGTAAACAACTATTTTATGCTATTTAAAATAGTTTTTTTTTATTTTAAATGGATAATTTAATATATTTTTATTAATAAATAAAAATAAGTAATATTTTATAAATGACTAATAAAACATAATGTCTACTTTCTTAAGAACTTTATTTTCTTATAATGAAAACAAAACAGAGATACTGAGTATTTTTCTCTATCCTAAGTAATATTAAATATAACAAAATCCAGTTATAAATATATATTTTTCGATAGCAGGTTAACGCTTAAGTATTCGTTTTCAAAAATATTTGAAAAGAGGATTGAAACGTAACCTGCTTTTCTTAGCAACAGCAAATTAAGGTTCCTACACACTGTGCTGACGGAAGATCGAAAGCATTTTTAATAACAATACGATACGAGTAACAAATAAGCGATAGACGGCAGCACGGGCGCCTTGCGCAAAGGTGTTATGCGCTTTATAACTTGGCAGCCAGTATAGTGTGCAGGAAGCTTTATATTATAGAAATAAATAATTATACAAAATTTATTATTAAAGCTACTAAATCATTTTCACGTCAACTCCTTGACGACCTATGATCGGTGAATATGACGCCTTCAGTGCAACTGGATATTATTAAAAGCACTAAATTCTCCCAGGCAATGATCACCAAAGCATACAGCGATATATTTTGTGGGTTTTTGTAACTTAGACTTATAGTTTCATAGTGTCGATCTAAAACAAAATGTTCGTTAAAATTTCACCGTTTGTTATACTATTTATTGATTCGAAACAAAAATTAAACTGTATTCACTTCACTTACCGTTATTCTTAGCATTTAGATATTTCCGAACAATGTTTATATTGGCTGTGAAATGCAACTATTTCTTATTTTCAAGAAGCACTGATATTGCACAAATAATTCGTTATTGTAAACAACCAACGTTGTTACATTATAAACACAACCAAATGATTCTTACAATGTCTTTATACACCAAAACAATGAATAATAAATTTGAGCTCGAACCGTATGATAATTATACTATACTACCCTCTTTTGGCCTTATTACCTACAGTCATATTTTGCAAGACTTACGGCAATGCTAACGATGAATCGGCTTATTATATTGACGTTTTTCAACATGAGTCACTAAGCAGTCATAGCCCAGCGGTTATAGGTTGACGCTTTTAATCTGGTGAGGTCTGGGTTCGTATCTTACCTGGACCACTGCTTTTTATGATTGGCAAAATCAAAACCATAACGAAAACGTGTTGTGTGAGATACCAAGTTGTTAACCGTACTAAAATTTGCCATATTAAATATCTCCGGGTGAACGATTAGAATAAATAAGAACTTATTTTTTTTCAATTGGGAACTGATTGCAGCGCCATCTAGAGATATAATTAGTATCAAGATGTGTCTATGCAGTTACAGAGGTGATACTATTAATAACAGCAAGATGGCGTTAAATTTCTTGCCATAGAACTAAAAATCCCAACTAGGTATGCTCTTTTGGCCCCGACTGTACCTAGACGTTTTCAGTTTTCCGCAAGTAAAACATTTTTTTTTATAACATTGCTCCATATTCTGTTACATTCGCAACGCAACAGAACATTATAGGTACAGGGGCTGTTCGGCGGATCGATGTAGGCATTTTATTATTATACTCGTAGATGTGTTATTGTTATGTTGGTTATTGAATGAATAATTTGAACTAGGTAGGTACATTTAGTGTAGTATTTATTCGCTGTTTTTTTTAGATACGGCAAAGTTTTGTTACGACATAAATTACAATATACACCCTTTCTTTTCTTTACAGCGATAAAGAACAAGCCGATCCGCAACGAGGACCCGAAAGACGCGAAACTGCGCGAGTACCAAGCGGAGATCGAGCGACTTAGAGCGTTAATAGAGCAGAGAAAGGCGGGCGCGGTCGAGAAGAAGGAGAAACCCAAGAAAATACCCAGGATGAAGATACTGCAAGACAACTGTGAGTATGAAATAATAAGAATTTAAAAAAAACATACATCGACCGGGGCTCGGACCTGGGCCGCATGGGTAAACGCCCCACTGCTCTGCCACTGAGCTATGCTGCTATCTCCCAAATTTTCAATCTCTTGATGCTCTGTTCTAAGCGACGTGATAGCATCATCTGTAAAAAGCATTAACAACTTTGTTAGTAACTTTGCGCCGTCAAAAAGAAGAAGAAATCCTAGAAAATACCCAGGATGAAGATACTGCAGGACAACTGTGAGTATGCCGCGTGATGCCGGCTCAATACAGCATCACCCCACTGCAGTACCAAGCGGAGATCGAGCGCCTTAGAGCGTTAATAGAGCAAAGAAAGGCAGGCGCCATAGAGAAGAAAGAGAAACCCAAGAAAATACCCAGGATGAAGATACTGCAAGACAACTGTGAGTATGCCGCGTGATGCTGGGTCAATACAGCATCACCCCAGGAGATTGAGCGCCTTAGAGCGTTAATAGAGCAGAGAAAAGCAGGCGTCATAGAGAAGAAAGAGAAACCCAAGAAAATACCCAAGATGAAGATACTGCAAGACAACTGTGAGTATGCCGCGTGATGCTGGCTCAAAACAGCATCACCCCACTGAAACTGCACGAGTACCAAGCGGAGATCGAGCGCCTTCGAGCGTTAATAGAGCAAAGAAAAGCAGGCGCCATAGAGAAGAAGGAGAAACCCAAGAAAATACCCAGGATGAAGATACTGCAAGACAACAGTAAGTATAAAAAAAGGAATTGAAAAAAGTGTCATGCGTCGACCGGGGCTCGAACCCGGGCCAAATGGATCGATGCCTCACCGCTCTGCCGCTGAGCTATTGATGCCTACCAAATTTTCAATTTCTTAGTGCTCGTCTCCAAACGACGATAAACCTAGCAAAATATGTAGAAAGTATTTACAATTTTATTAGCAACCTTGCTGTTGAGAAAAATGAGACACCTAAGAAAATACCCAGGATGAAGATACTGCAGGACAACTGTGAGTATGCCGCGTGATGCCGGGTCAATACAGCATCACCCCACTGCAGGCACCATAGAGAAGAAAGAGAAACCCAAGAAAATACCCAGGATGAAGATACTGCAAGACAACTGTGAGTATGCCATGTGATGCTGGCTCAATACAGCATCACCCCACTGCAGGCACCATAGAGAAGAAAGAGAAACCCAAGAAAATACCCAGGATGAAGATACTGCAAGACAACTGTGAGTATGCCATGTGATGCTGGCTCGGAATAGCATCACCCCAGGAGATCGAGCGCCTTCGAGCGTTAATAGAGCAGAGAAAAGCAGGCGCCATAGAGAAGAAGGAGAAACCCAAGAAAATACCCAGGATGAAGATACTGCAGGACAACTGTGAGTATACCGCGTGATGCCGGCTCAATACAGCATCACCCCACTGCAGTACCAAGCGGAGATCGAGCGCCTTCGAGCGTTAATAGAGCAAAGAAAGGCGGGCGCCGTCGAGAAGAAGGAGAAACCCAAGAAAATACCCAGGATGAAGATACTGCAAGATAACTGTAAGTATTAAAATAATAAAAAATTGAAAAAATTTCATGCATCGACTGGGGCTCGAACCCAGGCCAAATGGATTGATGCCTCACCGCTCTGCCACTGAGCTATTGATGCCTACCAATTTTTCAATCTCTTGATGCTCGTGTCCAAGCGACGATGTAGTAACATCTGTAGAAAGTATTTACAACTTTGTTAGCAACCTTGCACCATTGATAAGATAGAAACACCCAAGAAAATACCCAGGATGAAGATACTGCAGGACTACTGTGAGTATGCCGCGTGATGCCGGGTCAATACAGCATCACTCCACTGCAGTACCAAGCGGAGATCGAGCGCCTTCGAGCGTTAATAGAGCAAAGAAAGGCAGGCGCCGTAGAGAAGAAGGAGAAACCCAAGAAAATACCCAGGATGAAGATACTGCAGGGCAACTGTGAGTATGCCGCGTGATGCCAGGTTAATACAGCATCACCCCAGGAGATCGAGCGCCTTCGAGCGTTAATAGAGCAACGGAAAGCAGGTGCTACAGAGAAGAAGGAGAAACCCAAGAAAATACCCAGGATGAAGATACTGCAGGACAACTGTGAGTATGCCGCGTGATGCTGGGTCAATACAGCATCACCCCAGGAGATCGAGCGCCTTCGAGCGTTAATAGAGCAGAGAAAAGCAGGCGTCATAGAGAAGAAAGAGAAACTCAAGAAAATACCCAGGATGAAGATACTGCAGGACAACTGTGAGTATGCCGCGTGATGCCGGCTCAATATAGCATCACCCCATTGAACCAAGCGAGTACCAAGCGGAGATTGAGCGCCTTAGAGCGTTAATAGAGCAAAGAAAGGCAGGCGCCATAGAGAAGAAGGAGAAACCCAAGAAAATACCCAGGATGAAGATACTGCAGGACAACTGTGAGTATGCCGCGTGATGCCAGGTTAATACAGCATCACCCCACTGAAACTGCGCGAGTACCAAGCGGAGATCGAGCGCCTTAGAGCGTTAATAGAGCAAAGAAAAGCAGGAGCCATTGAGAAAAACTACTACTAGATGTCGCTGAAATCGTCGTTTCATCAGAGCATCATTTGAGCATCAAGAAGTTGAAAAATTCATCAGGGTCTGCCAGACGCCCGTAGCTCAGTTGGCAGAGCAGTGGGACGGTACCTCACCGTCACGAATTCATGTCATGGCTGTCGCTGATGAATTTTTCATTTTCCTTATTTTTAATTTCTGAGAATAATATAGAAAGAATAATATAGAAAGAATAATAGAGAATAATACATTAATAATCCCAATACTTGTAGAGTAATGGCTGCATCAGTGAATATTTCTCTAATTTTCAGCGGCGGAAGAAGACACGGCGAGTTTAGAAAACGAACACCATGAGGCGGAAACAATTATTGAACAGGAGAAACGACAAACAGAAGAGTTGGAACAACAGATACGGTCGCTGGAAGAAAGACTCGTACAAGGAGGTAACTCATCTTATCGTAATATTCCTGCCCTTATCCCAATTCAGTTGGGGCCGCGCAAAATATTTTGTTAGAACACAAAATCATGTAGCAAAAGGATTTGGCAAAGTTTTATGACCGGCCGCCTGCCTCCCGTCAACCCTCTTTGGAAATGCTATTGTAGGTGGTATCGCCGCCACCATGTGGTTGACCAAAGTCGAGAGATATTTAGTCCAGGTCAAAAACTTTACGTCGTCTTTTACGAAACACCTGAGTGGACTATACTCTATCCGCGCGATGAAGATAATATAGCGTCCTCTCAACCGCACTTTTGTATGCAAGTGAAAAGGACAAATGATTGCCCTTCCAGGTAAGTGGGCGTCAACAATTGTGTAAAAACGTAAAGATGCGTTTACATGGCTCTTTGGTTAAAGAAGACTCATAAATATTTTTTACTATTAAATTTGGTTTTCTTCGGTCTATTACAATATTTAATAAGTAAAAATAATTTTAGGTAAATACATCTGTGTATGTTTCACAGGAAATAGTCCAAAACACGCGCTAGGTCGTAGGAGAAATAAAACAATCGATATAAGAACAAAAGAACGCGTCCGCTCCGTGCAAGCCACAGAAGTAGACTGAAATTGCACCGCCATGTAAACGCACCCTTGCCTCGTTATCGCTAACCAATGGCAATCATTTTGCATTTTCTGGTATTATCTTCATCGCGCGGATAGAGTATAGGGGAGGGAGCATCCCCAGCCGCTACCACACGGTTATTGTAGTCGGTCGTTGTTTTCACTTAGCTCTACGCTTGAATTTAAAATTTGTATTTTCAGGTGGCGGCGGCAAAGACCTCATAAACAACCTGAACGAGAGCCAGATGATGCTGGAACAGAAGAACATGGAGATCGCCGAGCGGAAGAAGAGAGAAGTGGAGATGCAGCAGAAGATAGACCTGGAGGAAGAGACCACCGCCATAGTTACAAATACATTTACAACGTTACAGCAGGAGGTGGACCACAAGACGCAGAGGTGAGGCTTTTTGCGACGAGTTTCTAGACTCAGTCTTATTTTTGAAAAATATCCTTTCTGCCTACCCCGCGAGCGATATAGGCTTGATGTATGTATGTCCTTTCAAACATTTTATTTGATCTAAATATCAAACGTTTCCACTTTCAGATTAAAAAAGTGCTTACAAAAGTACGCCTGCCTCCGCGAAGAGATGGTTGAACTGCGCGAAGCTCACGACAACGAGCGAAGGGAACACGAAGAGTTACAGGCCACGCTGATAGCAGAACTGAGGAGGAAACTGCTTCTTGCGGACAGCTTCGTACCACAAGCGGGGCGCGCGGCCGTGCTCAGATTGAGATATAATGAAGACACAGACACTTGGGAAATGCCTGAACAGTGGTGAGTACTAGGATACCAGAACTAACAAGGAAGTTATTTTGATCACGAAGAGATATGCGTGTTTGTGTAAGATGTATGTGAGGCACGCTGATGTGAGTCAGCCCCCTTCGGGGGCAAGATGTTTGTGTGGCACGCTGATGAGTGTAGCCCCCTTCGGGAGCAAGATGTATGTGTGGCACGCTGATGAGTGTAGCCCCCTTCGGGAGCAAGATGTATGTGTGGCACGCTGATGAGTGTAGCCCCCTTCGGGAGCAAGATGTATGTGTGGCACGCTGATGAGTGTAGCCTTCGGGAGCAAGATGTATGTGTGGCACGCTGATGAGTGTAGCCCCCTTCGGGAGCAAGATGTATGTGTGGCACGCTGATGAGTGTAGCCCCCTTCGGGAGCAAGATGTATGTGTGGCACGCTGATGAGTGTAGCCCCCTTCGGGAGCAAGATGTATGTGTGGCACGCTGATGAGTGTAGCCCCCTTCGGGAGCAAGATGTATGTGTGGCACGCTGATGAGTGTAGCCCCCTTCGGGAGCAAGATGTATGTGTGGCACGCTGATGAGTGTAGCCCCCTTCGGGAGCAAGATGTATGTGTGGCACGCTGATGAGTGTAGCCCCCTTCGGGAGCAAGATGTATGTGTGGCACGCTGATGAGTGTAGCCCCCTTCGGGGGCAAGATGTACGTAGTCGGTCCCAAAGTTCTGTCATATATGAAAATACCAAAGAAAATACTGATGAAATAAAAAGTACCAATCTGTTTTTAATAATTTATACAGGGTGTTAGGGACGGTGTAACGAAAACTTTGCAGGCATGATCAGACCATCAAACTAAACAACATTTACCATGAAGCCAATATTGGGAAACGAAAAACTTTTTCCCACCTCCCATACAAAATTTACGATCAGCTGACTAACTTTGTATGGAAGGTCGGAATTTTATTTTCGTTTCCCACCATTGGCTCCATAGTAAAAGTTGTTCAGTTTCATGGTCTGAGCACGCCTGCAAAGTTTTCGTTACACCGTCCCTAACACCCCGTATATCAAATTAAAATACATTTATCAAGGAATCAAAATAACTTAAAATTATTCAAAATGTCCTCCCTTGCTTTTTATAACAGCCTTTAATCGCGGCGGCCAGTCGTCTATCGCGGCACGCACCATATCCATGTCGATTTCAGCGACTGCTTTAATAATGGTTGACTTCAGGCTCTCCAAATTTTTATGGGGCTTAGCACAGACCTTGTTCTCTAAGACCTGCCAAATTTTATAGTCCAGAGGATTAAGGTCCGGACTGGAGGAAGGCCAATCTTCGTGTCTTATAAAGTCAATGTTTTGACGTTTGAACCAGTCTTGGGTGGTCTTGGCTTTGTGAGCAGGCGCAGAATCTTGCTGGAACACGAAGTGATGCCCTGAAAATAGCGTGTTGGGCAGGTCTTTGACATAGCGATCCAAAACCGTCTCTTGGTACACTTTAGCACTGGTTTTGACCCCTTTTTCGCAAAAATGAACCTCAGTTGGCCCATAGTAGGAGACTCCTAACCAAACCATCACTGAAGATGGATGATGTCCATGTTGCACCCGCGGAAATTTTTTTACCTGCTTCTTCAGCGCTTCCAGCGTACACTCAATCATTCTGTTTATTGTACTTTTCTTCTATATCAAAAATTTTTTCGTCTGTACTGTGGTGACACATCACTCCCTACTAATTAGGTATACTATAGTTATGTATAAGCTAGATACGCGAGTCAGTCGCCAATATACGTCTGAACTGCACACACGTGTTTCTCTTCTGCTCCTCCCCTAACAGCCAACATCGCATGGCGACCCTGCCAGCGCTGCCTTTTGGCAGTGCTGAGCTGTGGTTTCTGATGTGGTTGGTTGTTTAGGGGAGTAGAAGTGTTTATGGACAGTTTTAAGTGGTTTTGAAACTATAAGAAGAAAAATTTACGGACAAAAAATGTCGCCAGTGATCGAGTGCTGCATAAACAGTAGTGTCAAGTTACTTTCGTGTCATGCAACGTGACTTGTGGTGTGGACCTATCAACTAACTATGGGAACTATTTAAAAAGTTAGCTACATTTTATATAATCTTCGTGAAAACGAACTTTAATAAATAATTCACCGAGAAATACACTTCCTCAATTGTCTTATACTTAATACGTTATGACATGGGATCATCTGTATGGATACGACGTGGATACGACATACCAATCTGTATTTCATATCAAGAACATAACAACCAAGCACCAAATGGAACTGAAGTAATAATGAA